CCCCCAGGGTAGGAGCCTGCACCACCTCCCTTGGAAGTTGGTTCCACACCCTAGCCGCCCTGACCGTGAAATAGCGCCTCCTGATGTCTAACCTAAACCTACCCTCTGCCAGCTTGTGACCGTTATTCCTGGTCACTCCTGGCTGTGCTCGGGGGAACAGTGACTCCGCCAATGCCTTCTGATCCCCCCTGACCAGTTTGTAACAGGCCACAAGATCCCCCCTCAGCCTTCTCTTGTGGAGGCTGAACAGGTTCAGGTCCTGTAGCCTCTCCTCATAACTGTCTAACTGATGACCTGTGAGGGGTTAAATTATAGCCCCGGGGCTCTCATGCATTTTCCCTCATTGCTCTGACTGCCACAGACACTGAAGTCTCCAGGATCCTCTCTCCTCCAGCTGCTGCTTCTTGTGCCCAACTCTGGGAGCAGGTATGTGCAGTGTGCAGTGTGAGGAGCTGAGGGGGAGTCAATGGCTGTGAGGGCATCTGGTGCAGTGGGGGTGGGGGGAACTGTGCAGCATTGGGAGGAAGTATCTGTGTAGCAGGAGTGGTGGTTTTCCCTGTGCATGGAGTCTGGGGGCCTGTGTCTTCTTGTCCTGGTGCATCCTGTGGGGTGTGTGACCCCTGCTGTTTAGAAGTTTGACAGCCCTGGTATAAGGCACCAGCTTTATTTTTCTGAACTACTCCATAGTAGTGCTGAACACATACTTTGGGGCAAATTCCCTACTATGTTTGCATTCTGATAGCTACAACAGAATTAGGCAGATACCAGGGAGCTGGCTATGACCCCCTGATTCTCTGTTCCAGGCAGAGGTGACCCGAGCAGGGTGCAGGGCCCAGGGCAAATCATCCCATGTGGGGCCCTGCCCCCAATCCAATCCCCTAACTAGATGTGCGCTTTCCCAACACTAATTGCCTATACCTGCTGTCCCTAATTTGTCCCCATGCCCCTCTAGGACCTTTCTATATCCCTCTCAAGGCCCTATTCCTTTAAGCTGCTTCTTGTCCTTTAACTTGCTGTCCTGTCTAAACTGAAACTTCCACAGTCCCATCTTCCCACTCTCTGCTCAAACTGACAGTTACCCTATGCTTGCCGGATGGCCAAAGCATCTTTTACTCGTGCTCCACATAAGTCTTGCATAGGGAGAATTTGAAAGCAGCTTCAATGAGAGCGCAAGAGCTTTCAGGTGTGTTCCAATGCAGAACAGGACATTTTCGAATTCTTGAAAAATTGCATGGACAGTGTCCTGCCCCACTGTAGGCCTGAGTCCCCTAAAGGCTAGGGACAGAAGTTACACATAAACCGGTTTAAGTGATCAGAAACTGGTTTCAGCCTGTAACAGAACAGAAGTTCAGTGCACATAAACCAGTTTCAGATGGCTGAAACTAGTTAAAATCAACCTAGTTGAATGTAGTATCAGACTTAGCTGATTTGGATCAAACCACTTTATGAAACTTCTGTCCCAGACCACTTCCTGCTTTAAGTTAAATCACAGTCCCCCAGCATCCCAGCATTCTTTCCAGCTCTGTGGTGGGCTGTGCTGTCTGCTCCAGCAGAGAAGGGTTGGGGAGGGGTGAAAGGAAGACAGAGAGAGGGGCAGGGACTTCCCCCCAACCACCACCCCAGGCCAATCCTGGCTGGGGTCTGGGGCCAGGAAAGTGGGTTAAATTTCCCTTCCCCCAAATATAGAGCTGCCCTGCCCTGCTAAACTTATTGAAAGTTACTGGCTGTGACAGTGGACTACAAATCCCAGAGGCACCTGGAAGCAGGAAGGTGAAGTGATGAGCAACCCTGCAGAGTCCTGCTGCTGTGATTCTGGAATGAAAATCCCAGAGACTTTGGGGACAGCAGGAAGAGGAAGTGCCAGAGAGCTATGCTGTAGTGCCCTCCTGGCTTCTGATCTGACCCACTGCAGGCATGTGGTTACATTTCCTGAATCAAAGGTAAACGTGAGTCCAGTTGTTGCTCAGTTTAATCTTTGCAGCTTGGACTAACCCACAAAGACTGAATTGATTCCACTTTGGGCTGTTTGACTGGTTGTACTTAACCAAAAAGATTCCTTTGAAAATTTGTCTCATTACCTGCAAACACTTAACACTGAAAAGTAAATATGAGAAGGAAGTGTGAATAGAATCTTTATAGTATGCAGCTTGGAACTTACCAAGTAGTATTTGCCAGGTTCTGGTACCACAGTACATCTTAAAGAAAAACTGAGGTCTTGCCATTTCCCCCCCATTCATTTGATTCTAACTGGCAAATGATAATACCAAGCTCTTATATTTTAAACCACTTCTTCTGGATTCCTGCAAATGATCAAGTTACCAGTTGGTTCCTTGGCAGATACAATCAAATGAACTCAGTAAATAGATTTTTGCACCTGATGTAATGCTGTTTTCTACAGTTCTACTGAACTTCCTTTTTCTGTCTAAACTTTATTGATACTTTTCTCTTGGTATGCATCACTGGTGTTTTTGTGGTTGGATAGAGTGGTTAAGTCAACATCCAACTCTTTTAGCATATCATCATACTTTTCAACGTGTGTTCATCTGTTTGCATTTTTCCAGTGATCTGCATCCTGACATTACCCATATTTCCAGACAATGTACTCGTTGTCCATGTCCTTCCATGCCTAGAAAACAAATACATGTGTCACCTTTATATCCAACTGAGATTACACTCTTCCTATTGCTGTAATTTTCTCTAAGTACTGTATGTACTTTTCACTATCTCTCGTACAATCGCATGCTCAGTTTTAGTGTGCTGCAATTCTTTATTTGTCAATATATTATCTTGCCCCTAGTATCTTTTTTTAAATGTAATAACAAAACTGTCTGAACTAAGGGCTAATTTCCACCTCCTATTTTGTACCTTTTGGAGAGAAGGTACAGTAATTCCTTATAATATAGCTTGTTCTTGTTCTGTTTTCTTAAAACAGAAATTGTTTATTAAGATTTTTTTTGAGACCAGCAATATTAGGTTTGCTTTTTGGGTTCATCTGCTAGTATAGCTTTACCCATAGCACATCACCCAATTATTTATCTTCACTTATCCTTCATTAAACACATTAAAGACAGACTATTCTTACATGCCAACTAATTTCTGACAAAACACAGGACAACAAGACCCTTGTTGTACATGGTAACTGGCACAACATGACACAAACAACTGAATGTGTCTACTTCATCCTCCCCTGCACACCTCTCTTTACTAAGCCATTGCTAGAAAGTATCCACCACTTCGCTTGATAGTCTGTTAGCTTTAACACCATCTTTACAGAATGATACCCAATGGCACAAGCCAGTTCCAGGGTTGCTCTGTGCAGTTGCTGTGTTCCTTACCTCCATTTCCTAGGTTTAAGTTTGTTTTTTCCTTCCTTTCCATCTTGGTTTGAGTTTAGCTGAACTTGACATTCTGGAAGAGTACAGTACCTCACCCAAGGAACGTTTACTCTATGTTAATGAAGTTTTTGTTGGTGAATACAGTCTCTGTTGAGCACTCTTTGTACAAGACAATCTCATATTGATGTAAGCAAGAGATTGTCTGGCACAA